ATAATCTGCATTTCTTAATCCATATTTCATAGAATACAATACATCACAGTAAACTTCAGATTATATATTAATCATCTTAAGTATCCTACCTTATACAAAAGGGAAGGAAAAAAGAGAAATACGTTTGCAAGAGTATCTGCCATTCCATCACCACAAAGACACTAAGAAGTAGCAAACAAAAACATTGATCCTAATAAATGGTGACAAATGGTGTTCCTCTGCAACTGTTACAGTACAGACTTCAGTATGTAAACAGCAGACTTCCCTTTTGTCAGACAAACAAGACAATCTACCATATACAAGAAGGTGAGTTTACAACATTTAATATGTTTCCATATTTGACGAAAAGATTTGCTTCAAAGCCAGTCTTCCAAAAAGTACTCAAAAATAACCATATGCCTCACTAGTCTTTTAAAAACCATTCTGAAGCAGCCCTACAAATGTAGAAAGTAGGCATAGAGGGATTACACCAAAAATTCTTTCCAGCTCTACCTGTAATACTGCTAAAGTTTATGACCTTAGTCCCTACTAGACCTTCAAAAACTAATACATTTCTTCACTTCCTGGAGAGAATTGTGTACCTGTCCATATCCACATCCTCAAGGAATCACCAGAACTCCACCATCAAGATGAAGCTAAGACTGGAAGTTCAAACCAAAGAACTCAAGCCAAACATTACGTATTCCCACCCAACACTTAAACCATTCATCTTTAATTAACAGAGACCTATTATTTCATTATTTACCAGTTCTTCTAACAAATCATGAATTAAAAATAAATATTGACATTAATTCTTTTAGAAGTGTCGCACACTGCATCAAGACGAATGGTTCGTCTCAGTATATCATTCTAAGTAACACCACCTAAAGACCACAGAAATACCCATCCAACAGATTCAATGCAAAGACTTTCTGAAATACTTCCCACACCCTTCCATTTGTCTCTGTAAATTTAAGCTCATCAGAGGCTTAAATCAGAGGCCGACTCAGAGAACTCATCTCCTTCCAAGAAGCCACTACCTCTCATTTCTCTCAGTCTGAAGTCACAGATTGTTTGGTCACGTTTCTCCACACCTTTCCTCACCTGTTTGTTCATGAACAGGAGTGAGGAGAAAGACTTATACCCCAAAACCCTGGCACGCTTCCATCTCTCAGAACCCCACCTGCCTGGATTTACTGAAGCTACTTACATCTCGGGTCCCACACGGTAGGCACAAGGCAGGCATTGGAGGAGAATAGCCAACATTGGAGGAGAAGCCAACACCTTCTGTCCCTCAGTTTCACCTGAAACTCACCAGCTGTAGCTGTCCCAGTGACCCAAACAGCAGCAACCTCTGTTCATTGGCACAGAGATCAATGAGGGTAAATCCAGCCATGTTCACACTGGCACTCAAAATGGAGTGGCTGCATCTCAGCTTTCGTTTCAGAACGGTCCTTGGCCTGGGCTAACTGGTAAAGTTTTAGTGAATATAGACCAAAAGCATGACAGGAACAATCCCAATAATTTAACAGTACAGATAATCACCCTCCCAGGCTCAGAAACCTTCTCATTATACACGGCAATACCGTCAACATCATCTTCATTCTCAGCACACGGAGCCCACCGTGGCTCCCTTAATGGGCTCCTGCAGACCACCTGGCTATTCATTTCACCATTGCAAAAATAAGTGGAAACTCATTTCTAATCAATAAAAAATTCTAAAAGTTAACACGCAATAATTATAATTTAACGTTACTGCCTGATACCATCACAGGGCTGTGGTTTAAGCCATCTGGATACATTTACTATCTACTTTTATAGTTTACACACACACAAAAAAAAAGCTATGAGTTCCTTGAGTTTATAATGATTGTTCCTGGAATAACTGCAACAGTCTTATTATCATCCATATGTACTCTCATCAAGTCGGCCTTAACGTAGCTTCTCCCTGGTAAGTATACACGGGTATGTACGTGCATTCTCACTTTTACATGCATTTGAGAATAATGTGGAAATAAAGGCTTTTAAAGGAATTAAGAACAATTACCAAATACAGCAGTGAGCCTCTGACGCTCCTGAATGCAATCTATTTAAAGCATGACAGATAAGCAGGTGGCATAGAAGAAAAGAAATGTATAAAAACTGCCCCCTCACCAAACAGAACATGAATGTATTGGAAGAAACACAGTGCCATCTACTGACAACATCGGATTTACTCATGAACGACGTCTCCCGCTGGATTGCTATCAGTTTCTCTAAGCAAAACTACCATAATCTAAAACTACACAAAGTGTCCCATGAACCAGATTGTGGCACAGAACTATACATTATATACATTTTGTTATAGTACCACTCATTTCAAAAACTTGCACGTTTATGTCCGAGGATCACAAGAGCTGTAAATGATGACCAGAAGCTACCTAGTCCCTCTGCTTCCTTCAAGGCTTTACCTCTGCCATGCATGATACACTTTTGTCCAACCCGATTTTAAGTATCTCCCATGAAGTATATTTTTGCGCCCCTTCCTACACAGCCTATTCCAGCATGTATCTCCGCTTTTAGAAAATTTTGCTAGCGCTCAAACCAAATGTTTTTGACATTTAAGGTCTAATCCTGCTAAAACTGCATTCTCCCATTCCTTTTCAACAGCCTTCCTTCCCAGCCTTATTTGCCTAACAATGCCAATTTGTCAGTCATTCCCCATTATCACAATTTACAGACTATCATTCTTTGTCTGCTCTCATTTAAAACTCAATCCAGTTTGTCTACATCATTATCTAACAGCAAGCCACAAACAGGACACAATAATCCAGCCTGGCTTTTCTGATAAGAGATGGAAAATTAGTTCATGTATCCTGTGTGCAATGACAGGTTATAAAGCCCGTAAAGCCCAGCTAAGGTTCATATCTAGAAAACCTACTACTGTTTCCTTAACTGTACAACTTCTTTTCCAAGGAAAAATATATCAGATTCTTCTGTTCTGGAGAAGTTAATATTAATTGTTACTTATCTCCCTATCTTTGCATGCTTAAGTTGCCAAAGCAACTTTTCTTTCTTTTCTTTCTGCCCCTCAGCAGCCACTAACATTTCTGACATCGTCTCGATTCTCTAATTCTTTAAGGCATCCCAGGATGGAGTTTTTAGTATAAAAAAAGTCTACAATCGCGATAAGAAAAAAAAAAAAGTACTCTTCCGCAAAACAGATTTCACCTATACATTAAGATGCTGAGCCACAGCTAAAAAAAATGTCATCAATAAGCCCTTTAAAACTTGTGCAAGTTTTTAAGTTGGCTATATAGGTGAGAAAGTATTTTCAATGCTGCTGCATTCACTTTGTCTATAAAAGACTTGTTTTAATCTTTACAAGGACTTGCATTGTTTTCAGATGTGTTTCTAAAGAAAACTGATCAAGTTCCTGTTTTTAACACTGATTCCTCTCAATGAAGTAGGAACAGCCTTATCAAAGAAAAACAACGCTCAAGAGTAATATCTCTTTTCCAAGTTTCATCAGAACTTGCAGTCTTCCAGAAAGAAGGACTGTTAGGCCTTATCAATACAAGAAACTGCACTAGTATAACTACGTCAGTACTTCTTTTTCATCTAGTTATTTCAGATTGACTTCTTGGGTATATAATCCACAATCTTTGAATCCAACTTAGTTTAAAACACGTTACAAACGCCATAAATTAAAATCAAAGGGCTTTCTTTACACCTCTGAAAAATAAGAAGTTGCTCCTTCTCCTCTGTTGTCAGGATGTAACCTACTTTTGGTAAGAACACCACCCTCCAGCTGCCTCTTGCACCTTCTGCCAACAGGATCAAACGCCCACAGCCCACCTGCAGCTTTCTGATAATCTTTAGGAAACAGTTATACTATTACTATAAAAATCTTCCACACTGAAAATCCAGTAAGATCTAACAACAAAATAAGCACCTCAGTGCTTATTGCTGACTTTAGTTCTTACAATGACTGTCTTTGAATTGGTTATGGTTTGCCACTGAATTTCCAGTATATGGCAGGGAACTTTTCTTTTTTAAAAATAAAATTTGAGGTTCACCTTCCCAAAACTAGACAGAATTTCCTTTTTATAGTGGTAATGCATTATATATAGGATATTATAAATTTCATCACTGTCACTTCATATGTTAGTCACTTTATTCACATGTTATACAGCTAATATGAACAGGTCTGTATTTGACAGTACCTTTTGTTGTGTCATGTTTTAATAAAAAAATGTTTAAATTCCAAAAAGCATTAAGAAAAAAAAATCACTTTAAGCATAATTCATATAAGCTTAATTCCTGCTTATTTATCCAAGGTTCAACAGTATTGAGCAATAGAGAAAAAGTATATTTTTTTCCAGAAGCAGCAAAGCAAAACGTCCTTGTGAAATCCCAGCAAGCCTTCCACTCACTTCAGTGGAACGCCAGCCTCTCTCCCTGACTTTAGGCGCAAACTGACCCTTTTTTCAAGGCAGGAGAAAAGCAATAAGAGTGAAAATTTTCTAACAAGACACTTGCCTAGCAACTATGAATTGGCTATTTAAGTGTGGTAATTATAGGAAGAGCGAGTTTTAAAAATCTGAGACAAGCAGAACATGAGAATAAAAACTGGTTGGTTATTTTTCACAATATGTCAGGTCAAAGTATTTAGGAGAAAAAGCTGCCATCAGTGGCAGAACAAAGACTACCGGCGACGACGTTCTGGGTAGAGGGTGCTCAATAACAAAATCGTATCAGTTACCTGTAAGGTTACATGTTATCAGCCAGTGGAGAAAATCAGTCAGTGTAAGGACAGAGTCAAAGTGAAAGGCTTGGAGTAAAGCTCGATGGAAGCATTAACTTTCTTCCTGATGCCATTCTTGCACACTATAATGATTTTTTTTGTGTAAACCAGTAACCAAGTTGATGCTTAATGAATAAGCGGTCACACTTTTTTTAAAAAAAAACAAACAAACAAACAAAAAAAAACCCAAAAAAACAACCAAACAGCGAACTCGAGTGGACGCTCGGGGCCGTACCTCATGTGCAGTATCCCGATGAGCGTGGCGGCCAGCTCGGAGGACACCCTGCCCATGATGCAGCAGCGGCTGAGGCAGGCGAGCAAGCGGGGGGGGCGGGGGGGGGGGGGGGAAAACCACAGCGCCCCCAGC